AAGAGAGAGAGAGAGAGCTATAGAGAGGAGATAGAAAAGAATCAAATATATTTAATTATTGCTCCTATAAGAATGCAGTATGTATCCAATTGGAAGAAATTCAAGAGATTGATCAATTCAATGATCGCGTATTGCGTGTATGTGTTGACTGCTATATAAATTATATAAAATTCAAATTGGACGGGGATTTTTTGGCACATACTGGTCCATAGCTTAATGGCACTTTCACGCCACTTCTGAAAGTGGATGCATTAATCATATCATTAATTTATTACACTTGATCCTAAAGTTGTTCTACAATATCATGATCATTTTTATAAGAAGACTGTTTAAAACTGCTTTTTTGAGAATGCTTTGTCCTTTGCAATTCTTTCGCGAAATACACTATAGTTTTCTTCAGACCTTCCGCTAAAGGAACTTTCGGTTCCCAGTTCAAATATTTTTTAGCTCTGCTAATATCTGGTCTTCTTCTTTGCGGATCGTCCTCAACTGCTGCGAGTTCAATTATCGGACTGGTAGCACCCACTAAATCTTTTATTATACGTGCAAATTCTAAGAAAAATTGAAATATTAAATGTCAAACAGATATATCCGAAATCTTAGAATGATTAATATATATGACATAAACGGTGGCTCTTACTTTCAATTGTATGCTCTACAGGATTTCCAATATTTACAGGTAAAGTATAATTAGATGCCATTAATGCTACTAATCCATCCACTAGATCGGAGACATATTGAAACGATCGCGTCTGTTTTCCACTGCCATAAATCGTGATCGAGTCATTTTGTAAAGCCTGAAGGATAAAATTTGACACGACGCGACCGTCATTCATATGCATTCTTGGGCCAAAGGTGTTGAAAATTCGTGCAACTCGAACCGAGACGCCTTCCTGTCTCATGTAAGCGTAGCTCAACGTCTCAGCGACCCGTTTTCCTTCGTCATAACACGCCCGTGGACCTATATTTCAAAAACTATATATATATATATATATATATATATATATATATATATATATATATATATATATA